TGTGTGTGTGCACTTTGGATGGGTTAAATGCAGAGCACGAATTCCAAGTATGGGTCACCATACTTGGCCACATGTCACTTCACTTCACTTCACTTCACAAAATGTCTGATTTCTAAGGTCTCTTACCTTTAATCACACCATCCTCATGAACGGCTGAAGCATGACCAGTGATCAGTTCTTCTTTTTCCTGACATCCTGAATGATAACAGAGAGAGTGTGGTGATTATTTCACAGCAGTTTAAATATACAAAATCATACTTTTGGCTCGTAAAAGAAGCAAACTTATTAAAAACGCCAGAGGTTTGTTCACTTGTTGAGTCACATAATATTATTACAAAGTATAAGGTTTGCGAAATAGCGAACTGCTTTGATTGTAACTGTCAGTAAAACCACATACCCTCCAGCTCTGTTGGTCTGTTGTTCATGTACTCCTTCATGGGTGAAGAAGTTTCTGCAGAGTAATCAAAAACCCATAGAAATGTAAATGCAGAGAAATTTTACACACACTCACATGCACACGCACAGTGTAAAACTTACGGTTCTTCGAGTCTGTCATTGAGAAAAACAAGTCCTCTGGTGCTGCTTCTTTGACCTCTGATGATAAGAAATTAACATTTTTTGTAAGAAATATTTATAAAGTATTTATACAGCGTTACATTTTACATACAGTTTACTGTAATTCAAAACACACAAGCTAATGCTAAGTGAAACGTGTAGTCATGTTAGGCAATCACAACAATAAATTAACCCTGATGTCTAATACAGTGCACAGATCTTTTTAACCATTTAATGTGTGATGTGACACGAAATCCAGCATGGGTGAGGCTTGACCCTTACCCATAACTCTATATGACTGTCCTCTTATGTGTCATTGTGCTTTTAGTTACATGACTGATTTAAAGGTGGGGTATGTATTTTTTCAAAAAGGCTTTAGAAAACGGGCCGAGTACCAAAACAAATGTCTAGCCAATCATCTGTAAGGGGCATGTCTACTCATGATGCAGAGGAGAGAGTGCTCAGTGCACAGGACAGACCCTTTTTGTGGTAGGGGCGTGTTTGTTTTGGTGATTTGAAATATCAACATTGGCTACCAGAAATCACTTACCCCACCTTTAACATTTGGGTTCAGTAAGAGTTGCATTAAATAGATCAATAGTGACAGTAAATAGTGACAGTTTTACAATGTCACAAGAATAAAAAAATAAAATAAAAAATAAAATATATATATATATATATATATATATATTTCAAAGAAATGCTGTTCTTTTGAACTTTCTATTCATCAAAGAATCATAAAAATGAATCATGGTTTCTACAAAAACAGCAGAACTGTTTTCAACATAGATAATAATAAGAAATGCAGCAAATCAGCATATTTGAATGATTTCTGGAGTAATGATGCTGAAAATTCAATTTTTCATCAAAGGAATAAATTACATTTTAACATATATTCAAATAGAAAAAGCTAACACTTCTTGTACTTGGCAGTACGTGGGAACGAAGACCAGAGGCCGTTTTTTTTTTAATGGATGTCAATGGAGGAGAGGCTTCACTACACAGAATAAACAGCTTTTTAGAGGAAACGGCTTATCATTTAATAAATCGACAGCCTATCTGCTAATCTTCAACATGTTTTACACTAAACAATACTTTTGGATTGAACTATTTTTTTAATTTACCACGAAAAAAAAATGCTGTTTTATAAGAAAAGTCACTGACTTTTTGCGACAGGTGGGATTCAGCTTACGGCATTTGTCATTCATTCCTATGGGATCCATAAACTGGATATGTCGCTCTCCGAAGGGCACTTCGGAGTGAAAACAATCGTGACAGCCATATTGAAGGGCCGTTCCAAACCGAAGTGCTCAAAACTGGCCACTTCAAAGGGCCCTTCGGAATGAAGGATTTCAAAGGGTACAACTGATGAACACTTCGGGCTCCCATGATCCTTTGCACAGATTCTTTGCATGATGACAGCACCTCCGTGTGGGCACGTGATGATGACGCAGAAGGGCACTTCAAGAAACAGTTGTTTGTTCGCCTACACCCTTCAACCCTTCGAAGTTCTCACTCCAGAGGGTAAACCCTTTGAAGGGATTAGGGTGTAGGGATGAGCCCTTCCGAATGGAACGCAGGGTGATTGTTCTTCTTCTTCTTTGGTGTTTATTGGCAGTTGGCAACCTAACTGATTGGTGCATTACCGTCACCGACTGGAATAAAGTATGGATCAGGATTTTGCTTGTAGGACAAAATAAACCATAAAAAACCAATCAAAACAAATAAACAAACTAGAAATTAAAACAAAACAAATAAATAAAAAACCAATCAAAAAGACTATATTATTTTATATAAGTCGATTTATCCAAATTATGGTGACCAAATGTCCCAGTGTCATGATTCCAGACTATGATCCCTTGTCTTGGTTTTGGGTTTTCTTCTTCTTCTTCTTTTGATTTGATTGGTGGCTGACAATCAATTTTAAAGGTGCATTATCACCACATTCGGTGTCTGAGTCTCGCACAACTCTGACTGAAATTCAGTGATGTCAAGGCTGTATTGTGATTGGTTATTAAGGGACATGTGATCCAAGTTAGCGTTACGCTTTCTCCAATAGTAAGTAATACAGACCCTCTCATCTCCTTATATAAGACAATCTCTGGCCTAGTGCTTTGTGCTGCTGAAATGTCGTTAATGGGGAGGAGAATGTCGGTTCACAAAGATGTTTGTGGGTGCGCGACATTATACGGGGAAGGAAACAGTATGGTGCTTACAACAGTTTAGTCCAGGAGCTCCGGTTGAATGATGCACGGTTTGAGGCATATTTTAGACTAGATAGAGTTTTGTGCTCATATCATACAACTCCTTGTGCTCCGAAACTAGTACGATATTTTCAATTTTTTCGTGTTGTTTTTGTTGCTATGGAAAAAAACTCGCTACTCGCTTCACTCGTTTTAAAAAGCGCTCAGGACTTTTTTGAAAACACAGTTTACTCTATAGGATTATACTGTAAAACAGACGCTGACAGATTAAAAAAAGACGCCAAGTGTGAACAAAGCCTTGGTGAGCAAAAGACACTTTTGAATGAGAGTGTGTATGACAACAAATTCAAGATGGCTGAACCCACATCAATGGGTTAAGTGTTTAAAAGCTATTTTATATTTAAGGCAAGCAGTTATTTACACTAAGTGTATTCCCACTGAGTGTAAATTATAGTAGACAGACACTGTTTAGACCAAACGTAAATATCAACAAATAAAACCCTGTTTACACTAATATGTGCATATATTGAGAAACTCAAACCAAGTGTAAACAGAAGTGGTACTATAATATTTGCAGTAAGTCTGAGCAATGAGTGACACAAGGACAGTCATTGGTAAATGGACACTGCATGCAAGACCAACAGCATAAAGAAGCTTAATTTCAGAAGTATATGTATTAATATCTGATTGTACCTGGTTTACGGGTGATTTTTAGAACGATGCATCCAATGATCAGGATTACAATACAGCAGAGGAGACATCCTGAGATGGCCAGCAGTATTTTTCTTTTGAATACTGTAATAATAAGGAAAATGCACACATTTAGATAAAGTTAAGCAACCTATAATGAACATTATAGGCCTATAATACATTATATAGAACAAAGAAGAAGTTTATTTTGTCTATTTTGTCTGCCATGTTTACAGAATATATTATCTCACTGATAATATAACTCAAAAACTAAAAATTGTATTTCTTGTTTTTAATCTAAATCTTGAAGATCATGAAGATGGCCTGACATTGTTCTAATGCACAATTTATTCACATATGTATGAAACAGGTTTAATAATAAATATTCCCATGACTCACTAATATTATTGGCTATGAAGCCGTCACTCAGAGCGGAGTACAGCGGTCTCACTGTGTTAATTCCCTTGCACTTGAATTCACTTTTGATTGTTTCTTCATTTCCTGTCACTTTGAGTACATCTGAGGATCCATTGAGCTGCTGTCCGTTCATGAACCAGGTGTAGTTCCACTGCCTGCTGTCTGAGACGTTACACCTCAGAGTCATATCACCAGTCATAATGTCACTCAGTTCAGTCTCCAGACTCAGGAATGCAGGTGGACGAGCTAAGAGCAAAGTAATATGTTACTTTATAATTTTTAAATAAAATATATTTCATAGTGAGCCCTCGAATCAGTACCCTTAATGCTTTTACTTTTACCAGTTTTAGTAACTATTCAAACTACACTTTTAAAGTGATTCTTTCATAATTTACTCATCCTCATGTCGTTCCAAACCTGTATGACTTTCTTTGTTCTGTGGAGCATTAAAGGCATGCAGGGTAAGTGATTTGGTTGAAAAAATTTATTTTTTTAATGCTGGTTGAAATTCTCTTCACATCCCGATAACAATCACTAAGTTAAGTGGGCTAAATGTATTTATATGTACACAAAAAATTAAAGGATAGCATCAAGTCAGTTAAACTCCTGGGCTATTGATCTGGGCTGTGTTTCCCAAAAGCATTGTTAGTTTAAGTTGATCGTAGCTCAATTGGTTTCAATGGGTCTACAATGTACTTAAGCTTACGATGCTTTTGGGAAAGGCAGTCCTAGTCAGTTAAGTAGCAGAGGGGGTTGTTAATCAGTTTGAGCTGCTTTGGTGTTAATGAAATTAACAGCAGGTGCACTAGATGGGTAACAATGAGACGACTCCCAAAACATGAATGGTTTCACAGGTGGAGGCCACTGATATTTTTTCCCCTTCTCATCTTTTCTGAATGTTTTTCAATAGTTTTGCATTTGGCTAGGGTCAGTGCCACTACTGGTAGCATGAGGCAGTACCTGGACCCTACAGAGGTTGCACAGGCAGCCCAACTCCTTCAGGATGGCACATCAATATGTGCCACTGCCAGAATGTTTGCTGTGTTTCCTAGCACAGTCAAGAGCGTGAGGAGAGTTCAGTAGAGAGGCAGTTTCTCTAGGAGCGCTGGGCAGGGCAGTAGAAGGTCCTTAACCCATCAGCAGGACCAGTATCTGCTCCTTTGTGCAAGGACTGCCAGAGCCCTACAAAATGACCTTCAGCAGGCCACTGGTGTGAATGTCTCTGACCAAACAATCAGAAACAGACTTCATGAGGGTGGCCTGAGAGCCCGACGTCCTCGCAAGGACTGCCAGAGCCCTACAAAATGACCTTCAGCAGGCCACTGGTGTGAATGTCTCTGACCAAACAATCAGAAACAGACTTCATGAGGGTGGCCTGAGAGCCCGACGTCCTCTAGTGGGCCCTGTGCTCACTGCCCGGCACCGTGGAGCTCGATTGGAATTTGCCATTGAACACCAGAATTGGCAGGTCCGCTACTGGCACCCTGTGCTTTCACAGATGAAAGCAGGTTCACCCTGAGCACATGTGACAGACATGAAAGGTTCTGGAGAAGCCGTGGAGAATGTTATGCTGCCTGTAACATCGTTCAGCATGACTGGTTTGGTGGTGGGTCAGTGATGGTCTGGGGAGGCATATCCATGTAGGGACGCACACACCTCTACAGGCTAGACAATGGCACCCTGACTGCCGTTAGGTATTGGGATGAAATGCTTGGACACCATTGTCAGACCCTACACTGGTGCAGTGGGTCCTGGGTTCCTCCTGGTGCACGACAATGCCCGGCCTCATGTGGCGAGAGTATGCAGGCAGTTCCTGGAGGATGAAGGAATTGATACCACTGAATGGCCCCCACGCTCGCCTGACCTAAATCCAATAGAACACCTCTGGGACATTATGTTTCTGTCCATCCGACGTCGCCAGGTTGCACCTCAGACTGTCCAGGAGCTCAGTGATGCCCTGGTTCAGATCTGGGAGGAAATACCCCAGGACACCATCCATCGTCTTATTAGGAGTATTCCCCCGACATTGTCAGGCATGCATACAAGCACGTGGGGGCCATACAAACTACTGAGTACCATTTTGAGTTGCTGCGATGAAATTTCAGCAAAATGGACTAGCCTGCTGCATTGTTTTTTTTCACTTTGATTTTCGGGGTGTCTTTGAATTCAGCCATCTGTGGGTTGATAATTTTCAATTCCATCAAACGATGTGGCATTCTTTCGTTCCTAACACATGACCCAGTCCATATCAGTATAGATATCCAGCATGATATTTTTCCCCATTGAGATCTGATGTGTTTTCAAAATGTTCCTTTAATTTTTTTGAGCAGTATATTTATATCGTCTGTGTTTATTATTTGCATACCTCCGCGCACTCTATTCACGCAGACATGATACGTCATCAGCGCGTTCCATTATGCTATTGCAGACTGAGCGAGAATGTAAGGCGTTATTACAATATTATGCACTTTGTACTGTATTGTTTTCTCACAGATAAATTAGAGGTAATCTGACAGCATTGTATTCAACGCTCCACCAACGCAGTCTCTCATTGTGTTGCAGGTTAGCCTCTGGTCTGCCTGAGTGCGTTCATGTGTATTTTGGAGGAGGCGTGGCTTTGGAGAGTGATTATGCAGGGGGGGGGTTATGCTTTCAAAGCTAGCTTGTTATTGCTAGCCTCTCCGAAATTGCCTACCCTACCTTTAATGAAGTCATTGGGGTTCAAAACTACATTAGACCCCAAAGACTATATGGACTACAAAGACTGTATGGACAAAAATGAGTAAATTTTTAACTGATATCAAAATATCTTTTGTGTTCCGCAGAAGAGGAAAGTCATACATGTCAGAAACAACATGACATGAGTGTGAAATGATAACATAATTTCCATATTATTTTGGGTGGGTTTCTTTAACATATCAACTTATCATTTTAAACTTATTTAGTGCACTGCCATGGTTATATCCTAAATGAAATGGCCACAATATGTAGTTTATATGGACACAACTTACCTTCAACTTGCACTTGTAGAGTCTCACTGTCCAATGAGAAGTCTCCTCTCTGTACTTTGCAGTGATAGTCACCAGTGTCAGTGACAGATACTGAGTCGATGGTCAATTCTGGATTTGTGATCAGAGGATTTGAGTCTTTATGCCAATGGTATTCCCAACCAACTCCTGACAAATTACAATGAAGCTGGACTCGTTCCTCAGTGTAGAACAACTCAAACCACTCATGTTTTGTAATGGCTGCTTTTGGGGTTATGTCTAGGAGCAACAGAGGTAAAATTAGAAACAGCTGACCTCAAACAATAACTGTCTTTGAGTTGCTTGTGCTTGTTCTAGATCTTGTGCTAAATGAACTGAATTCAACATAGCCAGAAAGCTGCAAACACTGACAATTTCCATGCTATAATTACAAACAATAAAGAAGCTAAACCAGTCCTCACTAAAGAACTTCAATCATGACATACTTTAGTAACTATTTGCATCTGTGATTGTTTTACATAATCATGTTTTAAAATGTATTTATTAAAATGAGCATAAATATGTTAATTGTGAAAAATTGTATAATGGTTCAAATATGGCTACCTTTGGAACAAGCAGGATTCATTTAGTTAAAATATATATGCTTTATTGAATGGTTTACATGTAATGAATAGGATTTATTGATGATACATACTGTATATAAACCTGGTTCCCATTCAGTCAGTCACGTTCAACGTTACGTCAGTGACTGACGAATTGGGATCTCGCCCGAGAGCCCAATCACCTTCGAGTGTTAACTAAACAAGCCAATGACAGTTGGCGTGCGTAACCCTCGTTCCCTGAAGGAGGGAACGGAGACGTTACGTTCCGTTGCCACAGTTGCTGTACCACCGCTGTACGGCCTGGGCACGTAGTCTCGGCTCCTCAGCGAAAAACTGATGTGCGTTTGCACGCGCTCTCCTTTTATATCCGCGCTGCGGGGCGGGGTGCGCGTGGCGAAACACGCACGCCAACTGTCATTGGCTTGTTTAGTTAACACTCGAAGGTGATTGGGCTCTCGGGCGAGATCCCAATTCGTCAGTCACTGACGTAACGTCTCCGTTCCCTCCTTCAGGGAACGAGGGTTACACAAGTAACCTAGACGTTATTCTGTGTTTAAAACACATTTGGTTTGTGTTAGTATTATTTCATAAATCTCATTCTTAATGAGTATAATATGTACAAATATGCATTACATTAAGTTTGTTAGTTTGTAAAAACTCTGTAATCCAAATGGATGGACATTTAATTAAATATCATAAACCTTCAATATAGGCCTACATTTTTTTTGAGAATATGGAAAGCACACAGCAATATAAGTAAAAGTAAAAGTAAATTTATGGCTTAAAGGGGTAATATGATGCAATTTAAATTTTTCCTTTCTCTTTGAAGTGTTACAAGCTCTTGGTGCATAAAGAAGATCTGTAAAGTTGCAAAGGCTAAAGTCTCAAATCCAAAGAGATATTCTTTATAAAAGTTAAGAGTCAACCACGCCTACCTTAAACAACTCGTCACTATGTGGGAAGATTTGCATAACGCCACCCAAATGTTCATGCAAAGAAAGAAGGCGTAACTTTAATTCTTGATGTTGCCGCCGCTGCCATGTTGTGGAGTCACTGTGTGTTTTGTTGTGAAAGCGAACGCGAGTTTTGAGCAGTGTAGAGTAGCGCTTGTTGTTTGTCGTTTCTCCGATCACAAATGCAGGCGATACGCAATGCGTAAAAAGACAGTATAAGTCATTATAATCAGTAATTATGTCCCCACTGGATTTTATTGGTTTTGTCTCGTCCTGCTGGGAGACAGCATCACAGTATGGTGAGGGGCATAACATTTCCGTCACATACTTGACGCATTCGGCCAATCACAACGCACTGGATAGCTGGCCAATCAGAGCACACCTCGCTTTTCAGACCGATGAGCTTTCTAAAACTCGACGCGTTTCAGAAAGGCGGGGCATAGAAGAGAAACAATAATGTACAGTATGTGGAAAATAATGTGTTTTTTGAACCTTAAACCGCATAAACACATTGCATTACACCAAATACACAAAATAATGTTCTTTTTAGCAACGTCATATGACCCCTTTAAGTAAATAAAAGTTTGTTTAAGACAAATCTGCTATTATTTTAATCTCCAGTTTGTTATTTAGCAGTTTAGATAATGCTTCGTTAACTAGCAGAAGACACTAACCGGTTTTAAAATCCAGTTGCGCAGATGGGGAACATTGTAACACTGCGTTACTATTAAACTATGCTATTCTATGACATTAGCGATGTAATTTACACTATTTACTTTTATTAAAGGGGTCATATGATGCTGCTAAAAATAACATGATTTTGTGTATTTGGTGTAATGAAATGTGTTTATGCGGTTTAAGAAAAAAACACATTATTTTCCACATACTGTACATTATTGTTTCTCCTCTATGCCCCGCCTTTCTGAAACGCGTTGATTTTTACAAAGCTCATCGGTCTGAAAAGCGAGGTGTGCTCTGATTGGCCAGCAATCCAGTGCGTTGTGATTGGCCGAATACCTCAAGTGTGTGACGGAAATGTTACGCCCCTACCATATTGTGATGCCCTGTCCGGCCGGAGCGACGAGACAAAAACATTAAAACCCATTATAAACGATGCATTTGTTGCATCCAGTGGGGACATAATTACGGATTATAATGACTTATACTGTCTTTTTATGCATTGCGTTGCATCGTGCTACATAAACATAAAACCATGTCTGCATTTGTGATCAGAGAAATTACAAATAAGTGCTACTCTAAAATGCCCAAAACTCACTTTTGAATCGTCAGTGGCAAATTCTTTAAATATGAAAACATACTTACAGTCTGTGAGTCAGAACAGCCGGCATTGTAGTCTACTCTCCCAGGATCAGGAAACAGTCCTCCATAAAATGTGCTGCACACATCTGAATATTTGGGTTAAACTGTTCTTGAGCACTTTTGTAAATACAACTTAACCACTGATTTCTAGTCGTGTCCTCTTTTGGAAGACCAAACAAAGTAGTTTCGCTTTCACAACGAAACACACGGCAGCAACAATACTATAGCGAGAATAAAAGTTACACCTTCTATCTTTGCATGAACATTTGGACGGCGTTATCCAAATCTTCCCACATAGTGAGGTAGACATGTGGGGGCGTGTTAGAACGAGTTGTTTTAGATAGGAGTGGTTGACTCTTAACTTTTATAAAGAATATCTCTTTGGATTTGAGACTTTAGTCTTTGCAACTTTACAGATCTTCTTTATGCACCAATAGCTTGTAACACTCCAAAAAGAAAGGAAAAATTTAAATAGCATCATATGACCCCTTTAATCTTAATGAGAAACCACAAGAAGCAGGTGAATAAAGACTGACAGTCAATATTTAAGGTTCAGAAATTAATGTAAAGTTATGTAAAGCATTTTGGCTCGTTTATGTGAATGGTTGCAATGTGTTCATTGTCAAACTCTAAAATCAGTTTATTTTTTAATTCGTAAAAAAAAAAAAAACATAAGAAAATTAATCCTGGAATTTGTGATTATTGTAAGGGTTATTCGATGACTGAATAAAAAACGTATTTAACAAAAACAAAAAAACCCACCAGGCATAATAACACTGCCACCTACGGGCATGTTGTCACATTTGACTTCCATTTTTTGAGGGTAAACAAAAGAAAAACGTATACACTGTAATTATGAAACAAAGCGACATATTTCTACTAGACACGTGTGAAATTACTGTGGATAAAAAAAATACTCTGAACCCCCTGTGGATTTACACAAATTGAGAAAGTCAAAAATTGTTAGGTTGTGCCCCTAACACTTTACTGTACACATTTTAAAATCTAAACTTCTTCATAACACTGAACTTTAAGGTGTCTGTCACCATTTCTTTCATATGTATTGATCATAGAATATCATATTTTCAAAAGCAGTTTTACTTGCCATGAATATGAAGTTGAACAGCTTCAGTTTGTCTAGTAGTCACTGCTGTTCTCGTCAGATGTCTTCCTCTGCAGGTGAACAGTCCTGAATGACCAGCTTTAGCTGAGCTGATGGAGAGAGTGTTTCCAGGAAAGGAAATGTCCTTATCCTTGAGAAGCTGAGCTCCGTTTCTAAACCATTCATAGCCCCATTTATTTGAATCTTCATCGACTGAACACTTCAGAGTCACTTTCTCAGTTGGGTAAAATATATTCCATTGAGACTCTACTGACAATTTTGGCTGAGGCAGTTCTGCAAAGATAAAGAACAATGTAACAGAACTAGACACTTCTGACTGTATTATGCCTTTATAATTGTACAAAAAATACCTTTATAAAAGTAATTAAAACACTTACACAATTATATTTATGCAAGTTTTATTTATGATTTCAATGGAAACACCAAGATACATTTATACACAGGAAATAAACAGCACTAAAACTCAATCTTAAATAATTAAAAACAAAATACAACGTTGAAGTTCTTAAATTAGCATTGAGCTTATTAACATGCAAAATTCAATGAACTGTTTTCTGAAATTAGATGTGTGTTTTTAAATGTCTGTATTTCACAATATAACACATTATAATTTAATCATGACTTGCTGCTTTCAGCTACAGTGATAACAGACTCTTACCATGGACTGTTATCGAATGCGATGTACTTTTTGCAGTCGTCACCTTTCTGTCCTGTAGCTCAGCTCGACACACATACGCCTCGTCATGACTGGACTGAACTGAGAGTGTGAGAGTGTTTCCTTTTATGCTTGCTTCACCATTGGAGAAAATCTTGTTCTTGCCCTTGAACCACATATAATTCCATTTTTTTGAATCTTGAATGTCACACTGCAAAGAGACTTTTTCACCATGAAACGCTTCTGTCCAATCAGACTGGATTTGTGGTTTAGGTGGTTCTGAAGGAAGAGAGGAAAATGGAGGGTGAATGAGGTCTGATAGATAGATAATAAAGAGTCTAATAATAACATGTTCATGCATGACCTGGGAATTTTCTAGAGGCACTGTAAACGCAATGCATGCACAATGGGAATAGTATTCCATCATGGAAATGATTATAAAGAGGTAAATTATGGATTCACCTTGAACTCGCACTTGTAGAGTCTCACTGTCCACTGAGAAGTCTCCTCTCTGTGCTTTGCAGTGATAGTCACCAGTGTCAGTGACAGATACTGAGGCGATGGTCAATTCTGGATTCGTGATCTGAAGTTTTAAGTCTTTATACCAGTGGTATTCCCAACCAACTCCTGGCATGTTACAATTAAGCTGGACTCGCTCATTACTGTAGAAGGGTTCAAACCACTCAGGTTTTGTAATGGTTGGTTTTGGTGTATCTAAGAGTCACAGAGGTAAAAATCAGAAAGAGTGGACCACCTTCAAACAAAAACTGCTTTGAATTGCATGTGCTTTTTATTCTTTATTATCCAAGACTACATGAAGTGACTCGTGCTGCTAATAGTGTCTGACTGCTGTCAAGAAGAGTACTCTTTACTCTTTATTTCATATGAATAACACAGTATATCATATTTTCAAAAGTAGTTACAAAAATTCAAGTTACAGCTTCTTCATTAAACTATTTTGGGTGCATGTCACTTTCGTTGATATTTATTAATCATAGAATATCATAAGTAGTTTTACCATGAATATGAAGTTGAACAGCTTCAGTTTGTCTAGTAGTCACTGCTGTTCTCGTCAGATGTCTTCCTCTGCAGGTGAACAGTCCTGAATGACCAGCTTTAGCTGAGCTGATGGAGAGAGTGTTTCCAGGAAAGGAAATGTCCTCATCCTTGAGAAGCTGAGCTCTGTTTCTAAACCATTCATAGCCCCATTTATTTGAATCTTCATCGACTGAACACTTCAGAGTCACTTTCTCAGTTGGGTAAAATATATTCCATTGAGACTCTACTGACAATTTTGGCTGAGGCAGTTCTGCAAAGATAAAGAACAATGTAACAGAACTAGACATTTTTGACTGTATTATGCCTTTATAATTGTACAAAAATAAAAGTAATTAAAATACTTACACAATTATATTCATGCAAGTTTTATTTATGATTTCAGTGGAAACACCAAGATACATTTATACACAGGAAATAAACAGCACTAAAACTCAATCTTAAATAATAAAAAAAAAATACAATGTTGAAATTCTTAAATTAGCATTGAGCTTATTAACATGCAAAATTCAATGAACTGTTTTCTGAAATTAGATGTGTTTTTTTCAAATGGCTGTATTTCACAATATAACGCATTATAATTGAATCATGACATGCTGCTTTCAGCTACAGTGATAACAGACTCTTACCATGGACTGTTATCGAATGCGATGTACTTTTTGCAGTCGTCACCTTTCTGTCCTGCAGCTCAGCTTGACACACATACACCCCGTCATGACTGGACTGAACTGAGAGTGTGAGAGTGTTTCCTTTTATGCTTGCTTCACCATTGGAGAAAATCTTGTTCTGGCCCTTGAACCACATATAATTCCATTTTTTTTAATCTTGAATGTCACACTGCAAAGAGACTTTTTCACCATGAAACGCTTCTGTCCAATCAGACTGGATTTGTGGTTGAGGCGGATCTGAAGGAAGAGAGAAAATGAACCAAACTGTAAGGTAAATGTGTTGAAACAGATAATACATATCCTTATACTAACAACACTAAGCCTATATGTACACTACTGTTCAAAAGTTTGGGGTCAGTAATTATTATTTTATTTAGTACTTGAAGGATGCATTCAATTGAACAAAAATGACTCTACATTGATGATAAGGAATTATTAGTGAGCACCAAATTAGCATATTATACTGATTTCTGAAGGATCACGTGACACTGAAGACTGAAAATTCAGCTTTGCCATTACAAAAATAAATTACATTCTAAAATATATTCAAATGGAAAAAGAAATGTTGCCTCTGTGAACATTAGAGACTTCTTTAAAAAAAGCATTAAAAGAATCTTACTGACCCCAAACTTTTGAATCTTGTAGTGTACATCCAAACTTTTTTTTGTTGTTGTTAAATATAGTTTAACTTGTTTCTCAACAACAAAAGCTGATCTTTGGTTCTGCTCCAACAACTTCATTAGAATCATTTTAATGATTGAAATTACCTCTGACGTTCAGTTGAAATGTATTACTTTGTTGAGTAGTTACTTGTCTGTCACTGTGTTTTCCTTTACAAGAATATTCTGCAGAGTCAGAGTGTTTTACAGTGATCGCTAAGACACTGTTGTCTTCCGAACTCCAGCTATCTCTCATCCACTGGAAGGTCCAGCCTGAAGAACCACCTTCAATTTCACACTGCAGATTGACTTTTTCATGAGGGAAAAACTCTGTCCAGTCAGGATTCAAGGATTCAACTCTGTCCAGTCAAGGAAACCGTTTCCGGAGGGAACTTCCAGCGCCATTTTGAACTGTTTGTAAACAGATAGCCGAGCCAAGCTAGTAGCATTGAAGGC